AAACGGTGAGATTGGCAAAACCGTGGCTGACGTCGGTGGTGGTGCGTCCTGGTTACGCGCCGGCGTAGGGGAGGTTCGGGGAGAGCCGGCGGCGCTGCTGGGAGTTTTATTTAGGATTTTCCTCTTCTCCCCGGCGGCGTGCGGTGGCTCGGGCGCTGTTCCCGGCTGGTGGTGGTGGTGGTGCTCCGTCTCGGCACCCCGGTAGCAACCGGCGGGGGGTGTTTCTGCCAGGTCGCTTTGCTGGCGCCGGTCAGGGCGGGTGAGTGAAAAAGCACTTTCTGCACTTAAAAATAAAAATCCCCCTCCCCGAACTAAACCTGTGCACCAACAAACCCCCCGATCCTCCCCTGAAACAACTGCTGGCAGAACCTTCGTTCCTGTGGGGTTACAAATACTTTGTCCGGTGACGCAGCGTGGCTGAACGCTTCCTTCTCCTCCTCTTCCTCCTCCTCCTCCTCTTCCTCCTCCGGCCTTCCCTGCCGTGGGGTGTCCGGGGATGGCCCTGCACGTTCCTCATCTGCCGGTGACATCAAGTGTGTTCCGCTGGGCTGGGACCAGCGGGTTTGCTGTCCTCAGTGGTGGGGTTGGGATCTTTTTCTGCCCTACGGGTGTCACCGTACCAGCTCAGACCCGCTGACCCAGATACAAAATGCTACAGAGGGAAGGTCAAAAAAAACCCCCACAACCCTCCAAAGAGGACAATTATGGATTAATCTTATTTCTTCTCAGCTCCCCTTGATGGGTTCATCCTCTGCCCAGCAGGAACCGTTTCTATCCCCACTTTTCTCATTAATCCGTCTTGTCCCGTAGCGAGTTTGTCAGCTGAGGTTACCAGTCCTGCAGGTGTGATGCCTCGGGATGACGAGTGCGGGACAGGCATCGGGGTGACCGCGCCACGGTCACCGCAGGCAGCGTCCCATCCGTCCACCAGCCCAGGAATCGGGAAGATTTGCCAGCCGTCTCGCCGGCTATTCGGTCCCACAGAAAAGCAGCCTCAGCGAGCGGCTCCTGAGCTGGTGGCCCATCCTGCCCCATCCTGGGCTCCTGGGAGAGGATCCGGCTGCAGGTGGAGGTTCGGGGCCGGGACTGCCGTCCCGATGGATGGGATCCGTGCCCTCCGCTCGCCGTGTGCCTGCGGTGAGCTGCGGGGCGGCTGAGCCCTTTCCCCAGGAAGGAGAGGGGACGAAACGTGTGTTCGGCGTGAGGGCGACCGCAGGAGCCGTCGGGAGGAGAGCTGGGGCGATCCGGGCAGCCGGAGCGACTCGGGATGAATTGCCTCTTGCGAAGGCAGTTTTGTGTTGAAGGTGTCTGAAGAGGAGAGGAAGAAATCTGGTTAACTGCTGCCGGGGCGGTGAAACCAAAGCGTTGGGCTGTTTGTTTCTGTTTGCGTTTCCTTCTCTTTGGTCATGGAGCGCGTTGGGAAAGCTGCTGCTCGGGTTCTGGTTCTGCCTGGGGCTGCGCGGCGCCGTTCATCCGGCTCTGCCGCGGCCGGTCCTCGCCGAGTCGGGCAGGATGGGGTCTGGGCTGCAGCGAAAACGCGACTAGGTGTCTCCCTCGCATCTGTTTGCGGCGCGCCGTGCGCAGGAGGGAGGAGGCTGGGATAGGAAAAAATTCACCTCCGAGCCGAATTTCAACTTGGGAGTTGGTATTTGTGACTTCCGTGCCCATCCGGGCGGGAATGTGCTGTCGGGAGGTGGGTTTTTGCGGTATTTAGCTGAACTTCGGTGGCAAAACCCCCCCCAGCATCCGCATGGATTAAGTCAGACGTTTGAGTGAGGCTCGGACTGATTAACTGCAGAGCTTTGTAGGCACCAAAAGCTTGTTTTTCCTGTTCACCTTCAATTATTTTAATGATCCCGGAGCACGGCGGAAGGTCTCCTCCTGAGGAAAGCCTCCTCCTGAGCGGCTGTGATGTGCTGCTCGTCCGCACCGGGGTGCGGGGGTCTTCGGGGACGCCTGTGCGGGGTCTCCTCGCTTCTGCCCCGAACGGGAGAGCCCCGGCGCCATCGGCCAGCCGGGACCCGGGCAGCTCCCCGCCTTCTGCTGGGAGATCTTTTCCGCATCTTTCCCGCTCCATACGCTCACGACGGGGCTGTTCCTTGAGGAAAATCGAATGATTTTAAAGTTTTTGTGTTTTTTTTTGGTTTTTTTTTAAATGTACGTGTGCGGCAAAGCGCTCCGGCCTTCCGATCCTGTGGGTTTAAGGCGGGAGGAGAGCCAAAGGCGAGGGGAAGCAGGGATCTCTTCCAAGCATCTGCCACTGGAATCCCCTGCTTGAAAATACATTTAAACAGCTTTTTGTGGTTTTGGGGGGTGCGGCTGTAAGGAGCTGCCCCCCGGGACTTCCCCCCACCACACACACACACAGATATTTTTGGCCTCCCTGGAAGAAAAAAATGCGATGTGACTCCGGGGTGGTTGGCACTAAATAATCAAAAGATCGCGTCTGCCTAATTTCTGCCTGGGGTTGATGCAATTCAGCACTCGGCAAACCCGACTGCAGCAAAACGAGCCGTTTTAAATGAAATGCTACGAAAGAGGGTCCCAGGGAGCGGCTCCCGGCGCTTTGCTGTGCTCCGGGTCCCCGTGGTTCCTCCCGGTTTTGTGGTGCGGGGCGGGTGGAACCGGGCGCTGCTTTGGGGACAGAGGTCGGGATTCTGGGGCTGCCGCGGGACGGTGTTGTGGTGTCAACAGGCGGGCAGTTAGCCGGTACGTGGGCGTGCGGGTGTGCGTTCCGTCTTTTATCGCGGAGCTGCTTACGGGACGTGGGGAAGAGAGCAGAGACCTCACCTTGCACCGCCCCTGCTGCTTTCTTGGGTGTTTTGCGTTGCGCGGGGATGTTTACAGCTCCTGCTGCGAAGCCGCGGGGCGGAGGGAGAGCCGTGGGTGCCAGCTGAGCGGGGCCGGCGGCCGCTGGAGCGGCTCGGCCGTGGGTTCGTTCACCGGTCAGCACCGGTGCCACAGCACCGAACTGCTCTGGATGCAGCCGGGGGCTTTGCCGTCAGCTTGAAATGTGGCTTTTGGCAAACGCTTTGCTCGCTCGCGGTGTGTTTTTCTGCTCGCGACAGCGACCATCAGGACGAAGGGTTGTTTGTCTTGATTTTTTTTTTTTTATTATTATTATTTTTTTTAACACTCTTATTCTGTGTTTGTGCAATTGCCGGGTGCTGCCAGTTGATATTCTCTTGCGACGCAGCCACAGCTCCTGGTGAAGGCCCCTCCACACATGAGGTGGCTTTTGCAGGGCTTACGAGACCGGAGGAGTCCGTTCCCTCTCCCGGGACGGACTGAGCGCTGTGGCCCAGTGCTCTCCGGCTTCGCGGCGGAGCTGATGTGGCTCAGCTCCCGGTGCAGGAGCAGCCGTCAGAGAAGCACCAGGGTGCTTTATTCGGACTTTTCTCCCCCCTCTCCCGGCTACAGGCTGTTCGTACCCAGAAATATCTTCACCAGAAGCTGTATCGATACGACTTTTCTACTTGCGGGCGAAGCTGTGCGGTATATATTGCCCCCTCTCCCCCCGCTGGGGTAGTCAGAGCCGCGTCAGACTGTTTTCCGAGCAACAGTCACTCAACACGTTTTTAATTTAAGCTATTTGCATTTTATGATAGGAATTAAAACTCTCCCACAGCGCTGGTGGCCGACGGGCCCCGTCGAGGGCTCCGCGTTCCCCCGCCTGCCCGGTGCCAGAGCGTGAGTCACGGGCTGTGCTGGGAATAGACCGGAGATTCCTGCCGGTGTCCCGTGTTTACGCCGCCGTCGCCTCACTGTTTTGGGAACCGTAACCAAGCAAAACCGCTCCGTGGTGACGCTGGGCTGGGGCGAGCTCGCGGCGGGGGGAGAGGGAGCCGTGGCCCGGTGCCGCACGGATCAGAGCCACCGACCGCGGCGCTGGACCCTGCCCGGAGAACGGCAGGGGTGGTGCCGCACTGCGATCCCCGCTCTCCTGCGGGCTCTGGTCTGGCGTCCCGCGGGGCGGGAGGACTCCTGACCCGGTCACGCTAACGAGGGGCCGTCGTTTTAGGGTATACCCGTGATGGAGGGGCAGCGTGACTCCCTGTACGGCACGTGTGCCGGCCCGCCGAGGGGGCGC